AGCCCCCTACTGATGGCCTGGGAAAAGCAATGGAATATGGCCTAAGTACTTGACCCCTGCCACCCATGTGGGAGACCTGGAAGAAGCTCCTGGCTTTGGCTTGGTTGAGACCTGGCTGTTGTGGTCATCTGGGGAGTGAACAAGTGGACAGAAGATCTTTCAGTCTCTGTTTCTCCCTCTCTCTGTAACTCTACCTTTCAAATAAATAAATCTTAAACAAACAAATGAACAAATACTTCTTCTTTTTTTCCCAAATGAAACCTCAAGCAGATCCTTAATTTATTAAAAACTGATGAAATCTGGGTTTCTCTAATTGAGGCCTGAAGTCAATGTTACCTAGACTAGCCCAGTCTGGGGAGGAAGGAACGCTTGCATTCCTCTAATAAACTGGCAGGGAACTACAGTCGTGGCTACAGCATTCTGAGCACTTTTAGTGTGAGGGAATAAGCAACACTGTTTTACTCATCCTGCAACAACAGCCTTTAATTTAGTTCTACCCATTTTATAGATCTCTCTCTGCTTACAGAAGCCAACTAGTCACGTCATAAAGCCAGGACGCAGGAAAACCAATGCTATGAGCCTGGGCTGGCTTCCTCCAAGGCCCGCTGCTTAGCTACCCAATTACGGTTGGCTGAACAGCTCCTCCAGGCTGAATAAAGCTTATGTCATATTTTGACCAGAAGAAAAAATACTTTTTAAAAAAGTTTTTCTTTATTTATTTGAATGGCAGAGCATGAGGGAAGGTGAGAGAGAGGGAGGCAGAGGGGAGAAGGAGAGAGAGATCATCCATTTTCTGACTCACTCCCCAAATGCCTGCAACAGCTGGGCTGTGCCAGGCCGAAGCCTGGAACCAGGAACTCCACGCAAGTTTGCCACGAGGGTAGCAGGGACCTGCTGCCTCGCAGGGTGTGCGCTAGCAGGAAGCTGAGGCAGGACTAGAAGCGAGGCACTGCCAACCTGGGATATGGGTGTCCCAATGACTGCGCGACAATACCAGGTCCTGTCCAGAAGCCCTCTGAGAATCTCTTCTGTGGGGAGCAACTGGGAGCAACTCGGACTAGACTAAGTTACTGGAATTAAGACTTATTCTATGCATCTGCTCTCCCACAATATGGCGCTGAGAAGGGAAACAGCTTCTACACAGCTGCCTCCAGTTCAACCAATAAACTGTGGGACCTGCTCCTGATTGGAGGAGAGCAGCGTACTCGGCGTGTGGGTAGCAGAGTTGGGATTGGTGGAAGAGGACTATAAAGGAGGAGAGAGACGGCATGCACCAGGAACATCTAAGGGGAACACCTGTGCAGCGCCCGAGAGAGCCGGCCGGCGGTGTGCCGCTCCCCTGCGGAAGTGGGGAATGTGGCAGGGGGAACCGCCCTTCCACGGAGGTGGAAGGGACAGTAGCCAACCCGGGAAGGACCAGCAGCAAACCCGGGGAGGGCCGAGCAGACAGAACAGCGCAGGGTCCTGTGTCGTTCCTCCATGAAGACGGGGAGCGACATAATGGTGCCGTGACTCGGATATGAAGCCTAGGCAGGGCTTAGTGTCGTTCCTCCACGAAGAGGGGGAGCGACATAATGGTGCCGTGACTCGGATATGAAGCCTAGGCAGGGTTTAGTGTCGTTCCTCCATGAAGAGGGGGAGCGACATCTTCAAAAACACACATGAGGTCAGCAAGTGATGAACACAGAAGCGTACTGGCGGGGCACACAGCAGGCCCAACAGCTCCTCACCACCCTGGCTACCCATGTACAGTTATCAGAGATATTTGTCTTCAAGGACATGTCAGCCAGTTATTTCTGGTTTTCTGTTTGCTTTTCACATTTATGTATGTGTAAAAGTGGGTGGGGTGGGTGATGGCTCAGGAATTTGGGTCCTGACATCTACATGGGAGACTGGTACAGAATTCCTGGCTTTTAACTTCAGCCTGGCCCAGTCCTTACTGTTATAGGAATTTGAGGAGTAAACCAGTAGAGGCAACATCTCTCTCCCTGTCATTCTCTTTCAAAAAAAAAAAAAACACTTCTAAAAATGGGGCTGGTGCCGTGGCATAGTGGGTAAAGCCACTGCCTGCAGTGCTGGCATCCCATATGGGTACTGCTTGGAGTTCTGACTACTCCACTTCCCATCCATCTCTGCTATGGCCTGGAAAAGCATTGGAAGATGGCCCAAGTCCTTGGGCCCTTGCACCCTCATGGGAGACCTGGAAGAAGCTCCAGGTTTCTGGTTTCAGATAGGCCCAGCTCCAGCCATTGTGGCCATTTGGGGCGTGAACCAGTGGATGGAAGACACCCCACCCCCCCGCCTCTGCCTCTCTGTAACTTTGCTTTCAAATAAATAAATAAATAAATCTTTAAAAAAAAAATGAATTACTTACCATTGCTTCTCGGCCTTTTGGGTAAGGTCAAGTGTAAAAGTGAATTACTTATTTCCTATACTACTGTAATTAGTTATTTAACAAACTGCATTTTCCATATCTGAAGGTGTTTGGGCTGAACTTCCTGACTCTGCCTTCCACTTCTCCCAACCCCTCAAGTCCTGTTAGTGGGGGACATTCACTAGAGGGCAAGGTGTGATCTAAAACAAAACCCAAAGGTTTCTCTGCAGCGTGCCCTAAACCTGACGCCTCTACCATGCTCACATTCAGTGCAGGCCCGCCCGATGTTCAGCATCCACAGAACTCCCAATACAAGGCAGCTGTCTCGGTAGCACGGCCTCAGGAGGACGTGAGGCTTCTCTAGCTTCAGGCTGGCACTTGGCTCTAACACACCTCTCTACTCTGTACTCCAAGATGAGGTCTGTGTAGTGCGCCAAGTCCTCAGCCTAAATTGAGATCCTGCCAGTTTTCATATTTGTGGTTCTCTCTGTGGCAGAGGCAATTAAAGGTTTTGATTTAAAAAGTCCAATAACAGCCTCCAAAGGTCAACATGACGACATCTGAAGTTGTGCATGTAATTTCCTCGTTCTTTAAATACTTTACCAGTACAATAAACTACTTTTTCCTTACACCTCATTACTTTGAGTGACACCATGGAAGCCTTTTCCTGTTTAGGCCACAGAGGCCTTTCAAAAGTAAGATAAAATTGTACAGCACAAAAATACTTGGGGGCTGGTGTTTGGCCTGGTGGTTCAGCCCATGGTTAGGACCCTGGGTCCCACGTCGGAGTGCATGAGTTTGATGCCCAGCTCTGTCTCCACTTCCTGCTAATGCAGACCTGGGAGGCAGCAGCGACGGCTCAAGTGACTGGGTTCCTCCTCTGGAGACCTGGATAGAGTTCCTGGCTCCTCACTCTGGCCCATCCCAGCTTTGATCTTTGCAGGTATCTGGGGAGTGAATCAGTGGATGGGGGCTCCTTCTGCTCTCTTTCGAAAAAAAAAATTCAAATTCAAACAATCCACCTGATTTTATATCAAAACTGCAAGCTAATTACCAAGGAGGCATATTTGTATGGTATAATCTTTCATATTTTTGCAAAATAAAAAGGAATGGATTTACATCTTAGTCATCACTCCACAATGCTCATAAGTGGGTATATTATTATAGCATCAGCATTAATAGCTGAAATCTAAAATTTGAGGTATTTACCTATTGATTTCATTTGTGTTACAACAGTAATTCCCCATTATTTAGGAGGAAATTCATTTAAATGATATTTTGAGACTTTCTCTCATTCCTTTTATAGTAGTGTTACACCTTAAAACAATATGGTTTTTGTTTCATTAAAATTTCTAGCTTGAGAACCATTAGCAATTCTACCAAGTGTCCCATCACGTCAATCTAGTTAGAAATAAAGAAGATAAATGTAGATCTGCGTACAGCAAAATAACCTGAGGGATACAGAAACCAAACTGATGACTTCTGTTTATCATCTGCACGCCTAACAACAGGCCTGGAAACACTTTCCTGGCAGTTACTGTTGCTGCACAAGGCCATAGTTAATAAGCAAAATCCTGGAGTTAAAAATGAGCTCAGGCCGGCGTCGCGGCTCACTAGGCTAATCTCCGCCTGCGGTGGCAGCACCCCGGGTTCTAGTCCCGGTTGCTCCTCTTCCAGTCCAGCTCTCTGCTGTGGCCCAAGAAGGCAGTGGAGGATGGCCCAAGTGCTTGGGCCCTGCACCCGCATGGGAGACCGGGAGGAAGCACCTGGCTCCTGGCTTCGGATCGGCACAGCGTGCTGGCCATAGTGGCCATTTGGGGGGTAAACCAACAGAAGAAAGACCTTTCTCTCTGTCTCTCTAACTCTGCCTATCAAAAAAAAAAAAAAAAAAAAAAAGAGCTCAGCAGCTGACTTGCCCATGGTAGAGGACACACATAGTAAGATAAAAACTGCCAAGGAAATTACTTACTACCAACAATATAATATATTTCATCTCTTAAAATTTTTGACCATACATGTAAGGTTCTTACTATGTTTATAAGTGAACAAATGAAAAAAAAAACATTACAAATTTACTGCTACAATTTTTGAGATTTGAAACTTTTGAAATTTAGCCATATTTCAATAGAACTTTAATTTGCAAACTTTTGCATTTGCCATATTCATCAACATTTTCTTGTTAAATTCTAGTTCTCACTAGAAGACTAGAAAATACCATGTAATAGTAGAAAAAAGAAACAAACACAAGGTACATTCTGTTATAACCTTTTATACTCAAAAACAAACAAAACCACACAGTGGTATTTCACACATATGAATGTACCTTTTATGCTGTCATTAAGCTTTACCATACAGTAGCTCTCGTAGTTAAAAGAAACCACAGTCACAGAAGATCTGTAAGAATTCTAATCAGAACTATACTGTTTTTGACAAAACCAGAAACATGAAAGTAATGACACTAAGATATTATGCAATGAAGATCAATTATAATTTTTTAATAAGTACTTATAAAACTCTTCAATTAAAAAATGTATTTACCCTGTCTTTACCAGATTCTCAACTCTTAACCTAACTTTCACAATAAAAATAGCAGATGATTATAGACCAAATATTACAAACATCTCACCGTACACTCCTTTGTCTAGGAGCAGCAAGAATTCGTCCACAGCATTACGCATCTCATATTCAGTAAGATCCAGCAGGGAAACCACTTTGAAATCCAGCTGCCTTAGTAAGTTGGTCAATTCATACACATCCACCAAAGGAGCTTTCAGCTTAGGGTGCTCCCTGTAATTCATGTTTCCTATCAAAAGAGCAACCTTGTCTTTTGCTGTAAAAGAAAAGGGGAGGAGGTGGAGAGATATTTAAAGTAGGAAATAAAGATTAAAATAAAACCTATGAGAACAGTACCAACATAATAAAAAATTATACTTTAATATTGTATTAGTTCATTTCAAATAAGGTTATTTACTTTCATCAAAAAACTTAATTTATTCTGAGGAACATGAGACACTAAGAAGGTCAAACAACTGAAACTAAACTTAGTCATGCTTTTGAGTCATGCAAAGGACATTATCAGCTGTGTATGAAGTATAATGGCAACTAAAATCAAACTATACCTTTACTGAACTACAACAACAGTATAGACTATCCCACTAGTCTTTTAGAGCAAATTTAAAGAAAGTACGTTTGATATGTGGTTCCGTTTGCCTGAGAAAGGAAGAGGCTAAAAACGAGGGACAGGAAGGAATCCCATCAGCATGTGTGAGAGAATGCTGGGGAGAGGCAGGGACTGCACAGGCACCGACCTGTTCCTGCAGTAGCCATGTGGACGCACTGCCTCCTCTTAGCTTCTTTCCAAAGGATTTTCCTTCTCTACTGAGGTGAGCTGCTTTAGGGATGTCTCAGTTCATTTTCTGGACTTAGTGCACTGAGATTCTGGTCAAAGATAATGTGTGTTGACATTATAAAAGAAATGGTTTTTTTTGTTTGTTTGGGGCAACAAGATCTACACCTGTGACTTAAGCAGGTGTTGCAGCTTGTCCACAACAACCGTGGAAGGTTGGACTTACCTCAGCGCTAAGAGGTCTTTTTTTTTTTTTTTTTTTTTTTGACAGGCAGAGTGGACAGTGAGAGAGAGAGAGACAGAGAGAAAGGTCTTCCTTTTGCCGTTGGTTCACCCTCCAATGGCCGCTGCGGCTGGCTGCCTGGTGCACCGCACTGATCCGATGGCAGGAGCCAGGTGCTTCTCCTGGTCTTCCATGGGGTGCAGGGCCCAAGCACTTGGGCCATCCTCCACTGCACTCCCTGGCCACAGCAGAGAGCTGGCCTGGAAGAGGGGCAACCGGGACAGAATCCGGTGCCCCGACTGGGACTAGAACCCGGTGTGCTGGCGCCGCAAGGTGGAAGATTAGCCTAGTGAGCCACGGCGCCAGCCGCTAAGAGGTCTTCAACACTCCTTTCTCTGATAGTCTGGGGTGGGGTCAAAGGCTATAAAAACCTGTGATGACTTCCTTCTTGAGGACTGCCAGGGGGCGTGTGCAGCACAAGTCACAGCAGAAATCAGTGAAGGAAATGCCAGAGCACAGGTGTGACAACAGCAGCGGCAGCCGCCGACAAAGGGGTGAAAAGCCATGAGGGTCGAACTGCAGGCGGACTCCTGACACAGGTCAGAACATGGCCACTGTCCTGTCACAGTGTTGTAAGTGGTTTATTTTTAAGTTACTATAAATGCTACCTCATGATACTGAAGCAGGCATGAATAACTGCATTGCCTATTTGATGCTTAAAGTATGTACTATAATTTCACATGTTTCAAGTCATTAAGATGATTAAATGTCACCAAAAATCTCTGGTGAAATTTCTTCTCTTTCCATAGAACATTTCAAGCTAGTGTTAACAATTAGCACCAAGTTAAAGAATGGGAGTTCCCTCTGAGGCTGAAATACCCACTCTGTGAAATGCCTCAATAATTTTACGTTGTGCTGTCTTTATCCTAGGTTTACTTTTTCAGACATTTCTAGAAAATTGGCTATTCTTATGAATACACATTTTAGGTAAAACTGAGATCATATTTATAAGTAATGTTTTTAACTCAGTAACAGTCACTTCAAATCCTATTCAAGTGATAATCTCTTTTTTTAGTCAAAAGAAAAAGCCACTAATCATGAATATTATTTAACTGATGAAAGAATTCAGATAGAAATTGCCCTTACTTATAAAATTCATTTAAAAAGTTATGAATATTCAGGATGGATTTCAAAAGGAGTCAATATAAAACTTAACATCCCTTGAAATTTCCTTTTCTTTCTGAAGTTTCTTCTTCAACTATTCAGTATTCCTGAACCCACCACAGTAAGACCATTAGCTGGCTTATACACAGGAAGACAGTGTCCTGGGCATCTTTCTGTGAGTCCTCAACCCTACCAGAATGCAGACCCAATCACACCACACTGAGACTCAGTCCAGCCTTCTTTCTACATGAGATGAAATGAGAGGTGCTGCCTCTGTTTATATCATCAAAGCCCCAATCATGGACTCAGAGCAAAAAATTAACCTGATAGCAGAGTGCTTGTAAACTGCTGATTTTTGGTGGAAGATAATTTAATTGTATGCATCCTAAAATGAGTTTTATTTGCAGAAAATAATCGTAAGTAAGAGACGGAAAAAACAAATCACTGTGTCTTCAGCAAAACAAACGGCTGTCAAATTAAGCATCTTGGGGTGTCTCTGAGATGTCAATTCCTTATTCACTGGTTTTCTCATCTGTGGTGATGCATCTCATAATGACGTTTTGGTCAACGACTGCATACATGATGGCAGTCCCATGGGATGAGAACGGAGCTGAAAGATTCCTATCACCTAGTGATACCACATTGCTGGAGTTCAACACACTACACAGGTGCTTCTGGTCACGATGGTGTAGACAGAGCTACTGCACTGACAGTTGTATGAAAGTATAACACAATCCTGTACAGTACATTGTATTTCATAATGCTAACAAATAGCTGTTACTGCTATATTTTATCATGTAGAATGCCCTCCTACTGTACAACAGCATGCTGGCTGGGTTAGGCTGGCTACAGTCTCATACATCTCATGTTTACGGGGTCTCTTGATTGCATCAAGAGGCTGCCTGAGTGACTGACTCACACCACGCAGGTTTGTGTCAGTACTCTCTAGGATGTTTCCTAAACAACAGGATCACCTAACAACACAGCTCTCAGAAAGCATCCCACCGTCAAGAGACACACGGCTGCATTCAGGAAAAAACACCTGGTACAGTTTACATAATGCAAGGGTTCAACAATTTGAGAACCCTGTGTCTTAGAAGGTATGTACTGATAATTGCCCATAACTTTTCTAACAGTTTTCTCCAATGATACTTTTTTAGATTTATTTATTTGAAAGGCAGATTTAGAGAGAGAGAGAGAGAGAGGGAGAGAGGGAGAGAGGAAGAGAGGGAGAGACAGAGATCTTCCATCTGATGGTTCACGTCCCAAATGGCTGCAACAGCTGGAGCTGGCTGATCCGGAGCCAAGAGCCAGGAGCTTTTTCCAGGGCTCCCATGTGGGTGCCAGGGCCCAAGGACTTAAGCTATCGTCCACTCTTTCCCAGTTACATCAGCAGGGAGTTGGGTCAGAAGCAGAGCAGCTGGGACCTGAACTGGCTCCCATATGGGATGTCAATGCTACACGCAGTGGCTTTACCTGCTACACCACAGTGCCGGCCTCCCACTGATAATTTTTAACAGCTAGTTCCTAAAATGTCTTAGGGCATTTTCTTGCATTTGATGGTAATAATATGATGGGTATGTAAATCTTACCTTGCCCAATCTACTTGTGAGAGAGTTCCTGGACAACAGGCAGACTGTGGTGGACTTAGGAAAGGGACACAGATGCTGTGGTCGAGGCAAGAGGTGACAAAGACCATCCAGAAAATGAGTTGTAGGAAGGGAAAGCCAGAGTCATGCTTTGAGATACAACAGGGACAGGAACAGCAAAATCTGACTGCTGAGACAAGAGTGAGGAATAAAAAAACTTCCAAACAGCAACTTTATAAGCAATTTATAATAGTTTTTCAAGTGATAAAATAGATGTAAGACGTTTTCCACAAAAACCTTTACTGTAAGAACCACCCACAACTTCTAGAACACAAACCATGTATTAGAAAAATGAGGCAAAAATGTCATTTGCTTAAGCAAAATAATGAAATCATTCCACGAAGTTATTTAACAAATAACCTTAGGTATCTTCCAAAGATTAGTAGTGTATTCCTAAAAAACAGGTACAGTGGGCCCAGTGCTGTAGTGTAGCAGGTAAAGCCATCACCCATGGCACCAGCAATCCATATGGGTGACTGGTTCAAGTCCCTACTGTTCCACTTCCAATCCAGCTCCCTGCTAATGCACCTTGGAAAGCAGTGGAAGATGGTCCAAGTGCTTGGACCCTTGCACCCAGTATATGGAAGATTCACTCTCTATCTCTTCCTCTCTGTAACTCTGCTTTTCAAAATAAATCTTAAAAAAAAATTCTGGTACAGTGTATATCAGTAATTCTATGTCTAGTAATTCTTTTTATTTATTTCTATTTATTTATTGGAGAGGTACTGGGGATAAGAGGAGAAAGAATGTGTACTCGTATCCTCTGATTCACTTGCCAAATACCTTCCATGGCCAAGGCTGGACTGGGGCTGGAACAGAAGCAGGAAAAGCAAGCCAAGTCTCCCACATGGGTGGCAGAGACCCAGTTATGTGAATCATCACCACCGCCTCACAGGGCCTGCACTGTTGGGAAGATGGAGTCAACAGCCAGAGTTGAGAATAGAACCCAGGCACTCTAATATGGGATGTGGGTATCTTAACGGTTAGGTTAAATACCTGCTCCCTGTATACAAATTCTCATTATTATGTTACTTATCCAAAATGAGTTAATACTCGTAAGCACCTATAAAAGGCCTAATGGCATTTACTAAATAAAAAATCTTTAGATATCTATAAAAATTATTAACAACAAATCTGGTTGAATATACAGTCCTTGTCATTCTCAGGAATTGAATCTTTCAATGACTCTCCATGTCTTAGAAAATAAAGTCCCAGTTCCTTAGTTGGGCATGTAAGAACATTCGCATTCTAGCCCACGCCTACCTCTCCAGCTGTGAGAATAGCTGGCCTCCACTGAGCTGTGGTATCCTTGTGCCTGTGTAGTTAACCCTACCCCTGAACTGGGTTTCCTTGGGACTTTCCGTGAACAACATAATGTGCTGTGACACTATGCCAGTTCTGGGTCCAAGCCTTCAGAAGCCAACAGCTTCCATTTTTGGGATTCATCTCCCATGTAAAAAAGGCAGCCATATGGAGTAACCAGCTAGGGAGGGAAGAGGAACTGAGAAAGGGGAAGGGGAGGGAAAGGAAAAGAAGGTTGGGGAGAGAGAGTCAATTTTCAGTTTTCATCAACACCCACTATGGTACTCCATGTGTGAGTTAAGCTACCCTGAACGTTTTCAGTTCCAGCCACCATCTGACTGCTTCCAGGAGAAACCCTGAGAGACCAGGAGAAGTACCTACTGCTGACCCCAGTCAACACACATGCTCATGAGATATAAAACTTGGGTTGTTTTAGGTTAGTAAATGTGGACTACTGTAGCTATCATAGATAACTACACCACCAGTCTATCCCCAGCCACTCCTTCCCTGGCACTCTGCCCTCCAGTGATACTGAACTGCTTGCTCTTCACTCACACCAACTACCGCATCCCCATCATGCTTTACCCTCAACCTCACACTCACCCAGAAAACCCTTGCCTGGGCTCCCCTTGGGTGCAGCCTCCCCTGGCTCTCTGACCCTAATAATCACCTTCTCCTACGAACAATTTCTAGATTATTCACATATATTCTTCTACTGTGGCATGTATTATGTACTGTATTATTCATTTAATGTCTGCATCCCCTATTATAATTGTAGTGCCTTCAGTTCAGGAACCAAGATTTAATCTCTTATTTCATAAAGGAAGGCAGAGACAAGACATTTAATAAATCTTTAGTTAACTTCTCATTCGAAGTTGATCTGATACTCAGTTTATATTGTTATTCTTTCAATTAGGACATGTTTCAAAAAAGAGTACCTGACATAACAGAGCTAACAGGAGCTACAGAATTAGCATATGGGTATCAATCCTGGTTCATCTTCTAAACTGTGTAATCCTGAGCAAGCTTTACTATAAAAATTACTAGAAAACTTAGTTTTAGATTTTCATCTACTAAAAGTGAGGAAAACTGTCTACATGTCAGAGTTAAATTATATATAATGGTGAAAACTATTAGATTATCAGTACCACCACTAAATGCATACTTGTGATTCAATCATCTCAAGCAAATAACCTGGTTACATTTGTATCTTGTCATTATATGTTTTTACAGACATATGCATGCTTCTTGCTAGGGAACAGAATGGCTTTGGTTTTGCTCATTTTAGTATTTTTTAAATTAAAAAAAATTTTTAAAATTTATTTGACAGGTAGAGTTATAGACAGAGAGAGACAGAGAGAAAGCTCTTCCTTCTGTTGGTTCACTCCCCAAATGGCTGCCACGGCCGGCACTGCGCCGATCTGAAGCCAGGAGCTGGGTGCTTCTTCCTGGTCCCCCATGCGGGTGCAGGGGCCCATGCAGCTGGGCCATCCTCCACTGCACTCCTGGGCTACAGCAGAGAGCTGGACTGGAAGAGGAGCAACTGGAACTAAAACTTGGTGCCCATGTGGGATGCCAGCGCCGCAGGCAGAGGATTAACCAAGTGAGCCATGGCACCGGCTCCCTATTTTAGTATTTTTTAAGTTAATGACAATACAATACTGTTAAATTTTTAAAATTTATTTGAAAAGTAGATGGAAACAGAGTTGGTGTGAAATCTTCTATCTGCTGATTCATTCCTCAAATACCTGCAACAGCTGGAGCTGGGCAGGGCCAAAGCCAGGAGTCTGGAATTCAATCCAGGTCTCCTACATGGGTTGCCAGGGAGCCAACTACTGCCATCACCTGTACCTTCCCAGGGTGCACATTAGCAGGAAGCTGGAATGCCAAGTGGCATCTTAACCACTGCACCAAATATCCACCTCTCCCCCCGTAAAGTCCTCATTTTTTTTTTGTACAGTGTTTTTTGAACGTATCAACAGAATGTAAATAAAGAAGTTTTATTTTAAAATAAGTGGTCCACGTTTTACAGCACCAATAGCCAATTTGGATACAGAGTTTGACAAAAGACAGCTACTTTCCTCTTTGTGCAGAGGAAAAAACAGGAATAAGGCAAATTTCAATCTCTGTCTTCAATATATGTCTTTGAAAAAAATTCTTAAAGTATCAATGAATCTTTGTGATGAAAGTGGTAATTTAGATTTGGATTCTTTTTTTTTTATTTTTTTTTTATTTTTTTTTTATCTTTTATTTAATGAATATAAATTTCCAAAGTACCCGTAATGTCTTCTTAACCGGTGGGGTCTGGGGATCTAGAGGAGATAATGGAACTGGAATGCATAAAAACTTACCATGGTAAGTGAATTATGGATATTTTTAAAGGTAACAATTCACAGGTTCTTGTCCAATTCAATATCAAGGGTCTTCACTTTCACTGTATAACTACCTGATTATACGTCTGCCTTCTCATCACCTGAGCTGCTCCACCTCTGATATTTACAATACATTCCTCTCTGCAATAACAAACTCCTATTTTATCATTTTGGCCCTGGCTATACTTCTTCCAAGTCATGAAATCCTTTAATTTCCTCACCTCTCCTTCCCCTCCCAGTTTATTAATTTTTTCAAAGCTTGCTTTCTCTATAGTCTTCATCCCTTGGTAAATTCCCCCAAATGCCAACTGTCTTACTCCCTTCTGATGTGCCCTATAAAACTGACTACCACAGTGCCTGGCATGCAAAAATATCTGGTATGTATGTAAAAAGTGAACAGAAGGACCAGTTCATCAGTCTGTCTTCTCTATTTTAAATCTGAATTCCGCTATAGGAAAACCACACAATTGATTTGTACTATTATAAATTCTTAATTTTTAAGTCTTATTGTCCCATCTCAATATTTTACCTGTAGAGGGTCAGAGCTGGCTTCTATCTTCTTTAGCCACTAAACCTTTGCTACCGCCCAAGTTCTATAATCAACCTTAAGCTACTATTTCTTCCTCAATCCTTTCAGCACATTACTATGTCTATGTAGCTAGAAAGAAAAGCCATCAACTGACAGTGTCCTTGGGAGACTGTTTGGCCCATGGAGAAGGCGAGGAAGCAGGCTCTTCAGCCTCTTGACTCCTCTATGACATCTGCTGAATCTCCACCTTCACTAGATGACATCAATCATTTCTTTCTGACTGTGTGACACAGACACGCTCCTTTTGTTTGTACACTTGCATGTTACCAGAAACTTGGGAATCACTCTACAGAAGTTGACCTGGATCCTTGAAACTGAATCTGGAAAATTTTTTTTAAACTAAATTTCTTCCCATGTTCCTTTATTTTCATTTACTTGAAAGGCAGAACAACAGAGAAAGAGAGACAGAGGCCTTCTATTCACTGGTTCACTCCCCACGTGCCCACAACAACCAGGGCAAGGCCTGGAGCTCTGGAACACTATCCAGTTCTGCCACATGGGTGACAGAGCCCCAGGCACTTGAGACATTATCTGCTGCCTCCCAAGACCCATTAGTAGGAACCTGGATTGGAAATGCAGCAGCCAGGACTCAAACCAGCACACTGATACGGGACGTGGATGTTGCTAGCTGTGGTTTAACTGCACCATAATGCTCGCCCCTGTAATTTTTTTAAGCCTCCTCTTCTAGTTGATTTCTTTGTAAATATCAATAATAAAGCATTGGGTCCCAATGTTGTTCAAATACTTATAAAAATAATCAAATTAAAACGTCATAGATCCCTTCAGCACCTTTATAAAATAGAATTAAATACTGTAACTACATTTTGGTCATGCACCTACTCACCCAAAGTTTGGTCAGTTGTTTGATCTTTATTATCTAAAAATAAAGAAGCACAACAGATGTTGTTATCCATGATACAAACATTTTCACAGTCAAAATATATGGAAAGCAATGAACAATAACATCAGCAGCAGCATTAGACACAGTGTCTAACAGCTAACTTACACTCTGAAAATCTGCAGAGTTTTGAAAAACACATGAATGGACAGAACTGGAATTAAGGCAGGGGAAAACTCTTAGTAACTGACTTCCACAGCTGGGGGAAATAATCCACACCATGGCAGATAGAAATGACAACTTGAAAAAATGGTGTTGTTAGTAACAATAAGCAGAAGCAGTGGTGGCTAACATTTACTGAGGCTTTGGCTTGGCCCTGTGCTATGTGCTATATAACCAACCTGAATAAGCCTCACCCTGCCCAGTAAGCTATGTACTGTTATTAACCCCGTTATATAGACATAGAAACTGAGGCAAAGAGAGTCTCTCTCTAGATTCTATGTATTCTCCCATCTATTACACAAAATAAATACCACCTAAAAGATGTGAGGAAAGTTCAATCAGTTGTGTGTCTCCTAGAGAGATGGCAGTTTGGTTTTTAGTTTTAGTAAAATAGATAATATTGGAGCCTAGTGAAAGCTTTTCCTGCATATCATTCTTTTTTTAAGCTCTACCTTCTGGCCTCTCTGGATCTTAGGGAGTAAGGAAAAGAGGGAGGCCAGGAAAATTTTAAAAGCAGAGAACTTTTGCTTGCCAAAGTTTTTCTGAAGTAAGCAGGGCAAGAAATAATAAATTTAGAAAAGGAGGATTCTAACCAGCCCAAGAGAAATAATTACCAGGATAAGTCTCTGTTTTTGAGGATAATTCAGCAAACCTGATAATAAAGTGGCTTTTGCTTTGTCTAATTTGCTTATATACAGTTAGCACGCCCCAAACAGCATTCACACTGACAGGTGGTTTATTACCAAAGTAAGCGTGAAACTAAGCAGACCAGTCACAGCACTAAGATGAAGAGAAATGCCATGTGGAGAAGCAACAGGGCTTCCCATGCGTCCTAGACGACATCGCTGCCTTCTTGACCTGCTCTTGAGATTTTATTTCCAGCTACATCACAGCTCCAGCACGGTCCTGAGAACCCCTGCAGCCCATGCTGAAGTCCTGTCTTCATGTGGTACCCACCACTGATAGACATTTTAAGTCACTCATTCAGAAATCTTCTGAGTGAAAGTGGCCTAGAGACTGCATGCTCCAGCCAACTAGTTGAGGTACATCTGCGACTGAGAACGGGGACAACGATCCCAGAGGTCTGACCAGTTCAGAAGTGCCATCCCGCCACTCAAACACGGCTTCCTGCCTTTCACACTACAGACCATGCACTGCCCTCATTAACTTCCTTTTTATCAGATAAGGAGCAATACACAATGATAAAAATACACTGATTTTATTTTGCTTCAAATTCTTACTTTTCTACCCTTATAATCAGTAATATTTTTAATGTGTCAGTTGCATGAAATTGTACTTCATCATGTAAGTATTAACTTTTAACTTTATATAATTCCAATACAGAAAATTATTTACTAATATTTAACAATTACTAATATTACTATAGCAAAAGAATACCTATATCTTTAATTCAACAATTTAAAAAAGCGTATATGTTTGGATTACTCACCAGGATGCCCAAGATTATTTAATTCATCTAAAATGAAATAAGAGAATACAAATTAACTTTAATCTGTCAAGTTATCATAAAGAATAAAACCATCAAAGAAGTAGTTTTTGAGCTATTATATTGTTAATTTTATCAGTTTAGAACTTTACAAATTAAAGAAGCCATGCCATGCAAATATTGAATAGGAAAGAATAATATTGTGATTATCATTTAGAGCTTCTAAGCTGTTACTGCTTTCATTAAATAACAAAAAGCTAAATAAAACCATTCATGATTTTTTTGAAGTTTTATCTATTCAGCAAATTATAGGACAAAATCAGTCAGGAGACAGGACAGTCTGTGGCCTCAACAAGGAACTTGTTGAAACTAATTAACAATCTCAAATGATCTTTTTAAAAAAGCAAAGTCAGTTTTAGAACATTTTTACTTTACATTTACAGAACCGCGGTGCAGCCAGTGCACAGCATTCCCAGACACTCATACCCAGCCTCCCTATCGTTAACATCTTGCAGGTGGGGGTGTTCCAGGACTCCACCTAGGACTCCACATTACAGTCTCCTGAGTCCTTTTGTGACAGCTGCTAGGACACGCCTCATTTCTGATGACCTTGACAGTAAATGATCAGGTATTTTGTAGGCTGCTTCACTTGGGATTTGTCTAATGTTGTTCTCAACAGTTTAGGCTCGTGGTTTCTCACGGTGTAATATGTCTTGGGACATCCAGTGATTTCAGAATTAATCTGCACCCACTTGTGAGATATCTTAGCATAAATAAAGGAATGGTAAAATAAACTAAGCAAATAACCCGAGGCATTATAACCACCTATTTCTTTTCTTTACAACATTTATGAGGATAACAATGAACATTAACAACAAATAACAAATTTTATACTATTTACAATATGTTATGTAGGAACTGCAGTCTTATCTTTGATATATAAAATCAACTAAGAATGGTGTCAGCCAGTGCATAGGGTCTCACTGACCAGACTCGTTTCCAGCTGCACAGGTCAGCAGCACCTTATTCCCCGCCTTCCTTCAGTGAGGGAGCTTCAGATGTCTGTAATACAGCTGCATTCTTTTATCATATTCTGCATTTCTTCTTGGGGTCCCTTCCCCTCTGACTTCCTTTAAAATTTGCATATGTATTATTATACAGAATAGTGTCACTGCCCTAAAAAAATCCCCTGCGCTTTACCTAGCCATTCAAACTCTGTCCTTTGTCCCAATCAAATGTCTTAAACAAAATACATCAAGTGAGGATGTAATTTTCTACAGGTAAAAAAATGTCACAATATAGGACACTGTTCAGAATATGCATCAATTAACCATAAAATGTTTGGACTTTGTAGGCATTTTTGGAAAAAAATATTTCCATCTGAAATTCTAGAGCAACTTTATAGCTAGATTTTCATCTTTACATTTTCTGAATAGAGATATTTGAAAGTTATTACTTCACAGTGCATTCAACACTACAAAAATATGGAGGTTTCACAGGTATAGAAGCAGCATGTCAAGGTGATAATTTACATGAATTACCCTGAGCTTACACTCATTCTTAGAGGTCTCCAATGTGAGTTTTAAAAACCATGCAATTAGGGCCGGCGCCGCGGCTCACTAGGCTGATCCTCTGCCTAGCGGCGCCGGCACACCGGGTTCTTGTCCCAGTCGGGGCGCCGGATTCTGTCCCGGTTGCCCCCTTCCAGGCCAGCTCTCTGCTGTGGCCAGGGAGTACAGTGGAGGATGGCCCAAGTACTTGGGCCCTGCACCCCATGGGAGACCAGGATAAGTACCTGGCTCCTGCCATCACATCAGCACGGTGCGCCAGCCACAGCGTGCCAGCCGGCCATTGGAGGGTGAACCAACGGCAAAGGAAGACCTTTCTCTCTGTCTCTTTCTCTCACTGTCCACTCTGCCTGTCAATTAGGCAAAAAAGAGAAGAGAGGAAGAGGAGTTTGATTAGGATTTCTTCACCCAGGTAGAGTTAACAGACCATGTGATTAGAATCCCTCTTGCTTACAACCAAGTTATTAGTATGAAGCCAGTAATTATAGGACTTCCAAACTGATGTTATGGAGATGAAGGACAGAAAAACCAAGAAATGTAAGACTTAACACTATTTTCTTGCTTTACACAAGAGCCCAAGGTTACATAACAGTTTGAAGAGGCAGAAATTGAAAAAATACTTTGCTATTCACAAACCTAATTATGCAAACCAATGTTTGCACCAAGAGAAGGTGATCTATGTTTTAATATTTACTCATTGCAATTTAAGCACAATGCATAGATTAGTTTATGTTGAAATATTTTCAGTTCTTTTTCTATATTATGGTAAAGGTGACATTGTAGATTAATCTACAGCCTTAGAGTTTATAAAATCCTCATGATTTTAGATTAAAACAGAATATTTTATTAATATAATTAGAAATATTGATAAACATAGTTAAATAATAAATCTTCTGTCTCCAAGCTTTCACAGAAACTATTTCAGCATTTGAAAGGCAATTTATTCTGGCTAAAGGATAGATAAAATAATCCAAACAAATAACCATGACAGTATAGTCATCCATTTTTTTAAAAAATAAATTTTATGAAGATAAAAATAAAAGTTCATTGAAAATCTTTGCTATTCAAAAATTATGCAGGAACTTTGTTCTATGCAACAGAAAATCAACGGAATCAATATTAACTCAAGATTAGTTATTGTCATAGTGTGTCTGTTCAATAGTTTTCATGGCAATTTATAAAGCTTCAAAGACCAAGAAACAATATCCTCCAAGAAAAACAGCTTCTTGGAGTAAGTATTTTTTCTATCACTGCACTCAGAGAACTAGAACTCTCCAGCAGTCCCGAGAATAACCCGCATGCAGAAGATGTGGTCTCAGACCAAAGAACGACACTACCTTCAGTGCACTCCACTGCCTCATCTGTTCTTCCTTGTGTCAGAGAAAACAAATGTGAATATAGTGGAATCCATCTTAGGAAGGGCAGCCATCAAGCAGAGAGATAAATACATAGGGACATGTTGGCAAGCCAACACACACCAACATCTCCTATTTGTTAACAATGCAACTGTAAATGCAATTAGCTTAAATAGAATAAACTCCCAATTATGCAGTTCAGAATATGAATTGTTAACTGATAATTACGTCTTTCCTCTGTATGTTTATAAGGTTTTCTTTTAAAAAAGTTGTTTATTAATTTGAGAGACAGAGAAAGACTGATAGAGAGGTCCTATCCCCTGGTTCATTCCCAAATGCCCACCACAACTGGGGCTGGGCCAGGATCCAGGAACTCAATCCAGGTCTCTCACAAGGGTGGCAGGAGCCATCACTGCTGTCTCCCGGGGTCTGCACTGGCAGGGTTGGAATCAGGGTCAGGAGCTGGAGGTGTGTACCATACTCAGGTACGGTCCCTCAGATAAGAGATACAGGCATCTGGAAGGCCAGATGTCTTCCCCCATGATGTTTATAAAAATGTTTTATTAAAATATTTTGTAACCAAATTGAGTTTTCTGTAGCTAAAGCTTTAAAGAAGACATTTTTTTGCTGTGCATTTAAAATAAACTATAAAATTTAAAAATAACTAAAACAACGTGAATACGATATTTTTCTGGTTTTTTGCTCTTTGGATGTGAACTTAGATTATGGATCTAGTATGCACTCTCTCAAATTTCTATATAAACAAAATAATTTCTAATACTTAATATACCATTAAATGGTACTAGGGGAAAAGCAGAATTTCCTTTGCTTACACATTCAGTTTATACGGTTCATTTTACATTCCACTTGTCAGAACACTGAGTAATACTGCTTACCTATGATGACTTCTGCCCTCTTGCTATCTTGACTGTCTCGTTCATTATACACACGACACCAATAGGTTCCCTGATGTTCCAAATCCACATAGGGCACCTACGTTGGTATCAGAACACATACATATTTCCTCTTCAACTTTAATTTGAACTGTATTTTTTTTAAATAAAAAGCCTCCAAAACAAAACATTTCAGAAAGTTTCAGACATTCTTAGATTATGCACTAACTTAAATAAAAAAAAGTTAATGATAAAATGATCTTAACACTGGTGAGTTTATGCAAAACTAGTTGACATTTTACAAAGAAGCCCCTGTTGAATTCCAGTATTTTTGCAAATGTAAGAATCAATATTAAATGGACCTGAAGTAAAAACACGGGAAGCATTAACACATTCTAATGCATATCAGGTTTTGTTTTTTTTTTTTTTTTTTTTTTTTTTTTTTTTTTAAGATTTATTTGAAAGGCAGAGTTATAGAGAGAGGGAGAGAGAAAGAAACCGATCTTCCATCTACAGGCTCACTCCTCAAATGGCCACAATGGCCAGGTGGCCAGGGCTGGGCCAGGCCAGAGTCAGGAGTCAGGAGTCAGAACTTGATCCAGCTCTCCCAACACGGGTGGCAGGAGCCTAAGTACTTGAGCCATCTCCTGCTGCTTTCCCAGGAACATTAGCAGAGAGCAAGATTCGAAGTGGAGCAGAGGGAACACAAACGGTGCCCGTAGGGGATGCCAGCATCACAGGTGGTGGCTTAACCCACTGTGCCACAATGCTGGCCCCATCAGTTTTAATATTCACTTCAAATTCAACTATATCATTTGTTTTATACATTTCCCAGCCCCTCTCCCGTCCAAATACCCCAAAAGTCAACTTCCTACCATGTAGAGCTTTTTTGTCTCATGTGTTAAGGGTGACTCATTTTTGAACCACTGGTAGTGAGGAATAGGGCTTCCCACAGCAACACACTGCAGAATCAACGTGCTGCCCGGCAGCAGCTTTTGGGACCTTGGCTCAACACAGATCTGCAACTTGGACTCAGAGACGCCATCCACACTTCCTTAAATTGAAAGAAAAAACTAAAAATAAATCTCCAGGTTAAATGTAAAAACAAATTGCTTTCCCATATAAAAACCAGATGTGTTCAAGTCCACCTTTCATTTTTTACAATCCTCTAATATCTCCCAAACTATATTTCATGAAATGGTCGCTCTCAGAAATAATCAGATGTTCTATGGATAAGAGGATGTTATAGACAAGTAAGTTTAGAAAATTCTGTGTTCAATAAGGTTAAGCACATTCCTTTATACATGATTTCTCAGTTTTCAAAGTGCTAATATGCATAGTGAATTAAAGAAAGGAATACAGTTCAAGTGTCTTCCAAATAAGTTTGCCTTTAAAGTCTTTTTTTGGTGGGGGAAAACAATTTAGTTAACACCTTCACATTCAATGATGTTCACATTCAGCAGGGAAAGCCCTACATCTGTTTTCTGCCTTACTGAAATATGGAATTCTGCTATCAGTGCGGAATACATGACTGGGTTCTCACTAGTATATCTTCCCAAGCTAGGTATCAGAAACCATTTATTATGCATTCATTTATTACTCTTTAAATTCTTTGAAAGCATACAGCTTTTGATTTTTTTTAATATTTTATTTATTTGAAAGGCAGAGTAAGAGGAGAGACAGAAAGAGAGAGAGAGAGAGAAACAGAGGGAGGGAGAGGGAGAGGGCGAGGGCGAGAGAAAGAAAAAGAGAGGCACCTTGCATCCATTGATTCACTCCCAAAATGGCTACAACAGCCTAGGTTGGACCAGGCCAAAGCCAGGAGCCTAGAGAGTTTCATCTGGGTCTCCCTGGGCAGGTGCAAGAGCCAAGCTACTTGGACTATCTTCTCCTGCTTTCCCAGGTGAATTAGCAGGGAGCTGGATCAGAAGTGGAGCAGCCAGAATCAGCCTTTAAGGCATTCTGGTCTAGCTGAAAAGCCCACAAGAGCATTTCAGGCATGGAAGACCAAGACACTGTTGCAAAAACTGTCCTATATGAAGGACTTCTGTGGGTGAGATCTCAGTGGAAAGAAGTTGTCATCAAAGAAGGGTGTACTTTTCTCTGAAGGGAAGAGAGAACTTCCACTTCACTTATGGCCTTGTCTAAATACTGAAGGAGTTTGTGGATTCAAAAGGCTTCCATAGCCATGGCAGCTCATGTCAAGAGCCTTGGGTGGTCACTGATGACATACATAGGAGTGTTACCTGTTAAATTAACAACAGCAGTCACTGTGCACTTCCTTCCCATGCAGGACCTTTGTCCTCACAAAGAGTTGTATTATGAGAGTTAACACTAAAATCTGTTCTCAAAGATTTATTTTGTTTTAGTGTATTTAGTGGAGGATATTCTTATGTCTCATAAGTTTTAGTTATGCCTAAGTGTCCAACCCCACTGCTTGTTTTCTTAGGTGCTTCCTTAATTAGTGATAAAACTTGTTCTCAAGGACTTACTTTCTTTTTTTTTTAATTTTTTTTAAATTTTTTATTTTTGACAGGCAGAGTGGACAGTGAGAGAGAGAGACAGAGAGAAAGGTCTTCCTTTGCCGTTCGTTCACCCTCCAATGGCCACCATGGCCGGCGCGCTGCGGCCGGCGCACCACGCTGATCTGATGGCAGGAGCCAGGTACTTATCCTGGTCTCCCATGGGGTGCAGGGCCCAAGCACTTGGGCCGTCCTCTACTGCACTCCCTGGCCATGGCAGAGAGCTAGCCTGGAAGAGGGGCAACCAGGACAGAATCTGGCACCCCGACTGGGACTAGAACCCGGTGTGCTGGCGCCGCAAGGCGGAGGATTAGCTTAGTGAGCCACGGCGCCAGCTGACTTACTTTCTTTTAACATATTAAATGTAGGATATTCTTATGTCTCCTAACTTATAGTTATGTCTAAGTGCTCGCAAAGGATGTATCATTCTTTAGGGCTTCCTTAAAGTTAATTTTCTCAAAAAAAAGAAAGAAGTGAAATTAACTTCAAGATGCAATGATTTTGAACAGCCTCTGTCTTGACTGTTGAACAGTTTTTTTGTGTGTGTGTGCAAATTGTTGAACTCTTTACTTTGTATAGAGTTAGTCATCAGTGTATAAAGACAACTGTAATATGTATCTTTGTTTACCAAAAGACTGGGAATAGGAGAGGGAGGAGGAGGAAGGGTGGGAGTGTGGGTGGGAGGGCGGGTATGGTGGGAAGAATCACCATATTCCTAAAGTTGTACTTATGAAATGCATGAAGTTTGTATTCCTTAAATAAAAGAGTCCTTTGGGAAAAAAAGTCAATAAAACCAGTTTGGCCAAAAAAAACCCAAAAACAAAAAACAAAGAAGTGAAGCAGCAGGGACTTGAACCGGTGCCCATTTAGGATGCCAGAGCCACAGTGCGCAGCTAAACCAGCCATGCCACAACGTCGGCCCTGAGAGGTTATCAATTTATGCAGTGTCAAGCAACAGCATGAAAGAAGGTAAAGTCTGACAAGGTCAGCAGCAGGCAGCATGCTGAGAAGAGTCTATATCCCCTAAAGGATTTATGTGCACGTGGGATCAAATCTTAACAAGTGGTGACAATACAGTGGACGAAGTACTGTGTGAGCATTCGGTACTGTTTTTGATAATCTAGAATTTGTTAAAGCAAACAGTTAAAATGAGGTGGTCCCCATCCCAATCTTTAATTCTTCTATCACTTACTCTGAGAGCTTTCTGTTACTTCTGCGATGTCACAAACATCCAGCTGTGACCACCGGCTGAATTCAAAGGTGAAATTATTATTAACGCGACAGACATAAAAGCCTGCATCTTTTACCTGCACTGTGTTAAAAATAAGTTCTGAGGCATTTCCGTATGGAATCTGTAAAACAATCAGTAAGAAAATATAAGTGAATGACTCATCAATAACACATCTCATGGGTATTTGGTGCACCAGTTAAATCGCCACCTGGGACACTGGCAATCCATTTTGGAGTGCTTGCTCCAAGCACTTTCTCTCTCTGCTTCAGCAACTCTTTTTCCCTTTTACTGTATCCCTCTCAAAAACATATTCTAGTACCTTCTATACCAAATAAATAAATAAATAAAACTTGACCCAAGAGTTCCTCTCGGCAATACTAAGAAGCCAGTCACCCCTTTCTTCTCAAAACACTTTGCATTTGAGACTCCGAGACCAGCCCCTTGGGTTTTCTTCTTAACTCTGGCATATCCTTTTCAGTCTCTTTATCTCAATGTTGTCTTAACAGAGAGCCAAGCTGCCTAGACAATGTGTCTGGATGTGTTAACAGACAGTTCATTTTTCTTTTCTTTATAAGTTGAAAGATGTATTTTATTTATTTCAAACGCATAATGAGAGAGAGAGAGAGAGAGAGAGAGAGAGAGAATCTTCCATCCACTAGTTCACTCCCCAAATGGCAACAGTTGGAGATAAGCCAGGACAAAGCCAGGAGCCAGGAACTCTATCAAGATCTTCCACATGGGTGGCAGGGACCTGTCATTCACTGCCTTCCCAAGCACATTAGCAGGAAGCTGGAGTAGAAGTGGAGCAGCTGGGACTTGAACTGGTGCTCTGATGTGGGATTCCAGAATTGCAAGTGGCAGCTTAACCCACAGCCCTGTAACAGGCATTTCAAACTTAACATCTCTAAAGCTAAACTCCTAATTTTTTTCCCTCAATCTATTCCTTTTCAGTCTCCAACACTTCAATGCATAACATGTCCCTGAGGCTCAAGTGAAAAATCTAGGGGTCACCCCGGATTTCTCTTCCTTCGGCCTCACATTTCACATCTACTCTATCAGTTTGGCTAACTCTGGTATCTCTACAATACAAGCTGAATTACCCAGTGGTCCTCTTCCTGTTCTCAGTTTCCTTTCGAGCAAGTCTGTATTTTTAAAAACAAATCCTACCATGTCTCTTCTCTTACTTAAAAAACCCTTAGTGGCTTCTCACTTTGTATCAGCACCCTGTTTATTTTCCTCAGCTCTTAGCTCACAGAAATGACTCTGCTCACTGCTGTCTTTCCCTGCTTTGGAGGGAGTCCTTGAAGGCATGGAGCCTGTGTTCTACTGCTTCACAGTACTTGAGAACAGTCTGGCACAAAACAGATGCTCAACAAACACTGGTCTATCGGAAGACAGATCCATGTATGTAACAGCAGTTTGATAAAACACTAACAAAACTCAACTTGTTAGAGTTTTAAAATCCATCACAATTGTTCAAATCAAAGACGTTTCCTCATCCCTTACCTTGATGGTTTTCTCCAATTTGGATGAGTTTTATAAATTATACACTTACTATCTGTAGAGGATTTTCTCATTATTTCCTTTCATTATTAAAATAAAAACAACTCTGCGATAGAAAAAATAAGCTAAGAATATCTTCGGCAACCATCTCCTACAAGCCAAGGCACATAAACATCCTGGCCATTTAATTCTGACGCCCACCATGATAGGAATTCATAGATGATGGCAATCAGGGCCCTAATGTAGAACTACCTGGCATCAAAGCTGCCATTCAATCTTTTTACCATATTCCACAACTGTTCTACCTTACCTGTGATTCAGGAATGGAAACAAAAACTCGTATAAAACCACAAATTCCTGCTAAAGCATAAGGTGATTAAAGGAGAGATCATAATCTCAGAAACATCAGAATCTTGGATGGCATATCAAATCAGTTTCAGATGTGCAAACAAAGACTTAGCATCACGTTTGGAAGGAAATCGAATCACTAGTTATAGAATAAAACATGCAGTTTCAATGCACCATCAGGGAGGGAAGGGCAAGTGGGGAGGAATGAAGTGGAAGAGAAAAGTCCACAAAATTGGAGCATACATGGGGCAGCCAGACCAGTGAGAAGCCCCAGTGGCAGGGTGGCTCAAAGAGCTTTCAAGAAAAGAGAATTCTAATATGTACTTTTTCTTTTCTTTTTTTTTTTAAAGACTTATTTACTTATTTGAAAGGTAGAGTTACAGAGAGGGACACAGAGAGATGTTCTATCTGCTGGTTCACTCCCCAAATGGTCACAATGGCCAGAGTTGCTCTAATCGAAGCAAGGAGCCAGGAGCTTCTCAGGTCTCCCACATGGGTGCAGAGGCCCAACTTGGGCTATCTTCCACTGCTTTCCCAGGCGCATTAGTAGTGAGCTGGATCAGAAGTGGAGCAGCTGGGACTCCAACTGGCACCCAAATGAGATGCCTGTACAGGTGGCAGTTTTACCTGCTACACCACAGCACCGGCCCCTAAAATCACTTGTCCCACACTGCAAATCTGAATTTCAATTAAGAATAGCCTAAATCTTTTGATGTCATACAGTTATACATAATTCCTAAATATTGCCATGGCATTCTATATAGTCTCGAGAAATTTTTAATTAAAAACTTTAGGTAGAAAATAATCTGGTATATAGATACGTTAGAAAGTACTGGTGAATCTTCCTGCTTGGTAACATTGTTGCCTATGAAATTCCTACTTTCCACAATTTTTAGAGTCAGGAATTGATTTCATTATTGCTTAAGACTTCTTTACTAAAACAATTTCAGAACTGTTTTGTCATAAAAATGATTACTGAATATTTCAGTAATAACCTAACAATGCTATCTGACTTTGACTAACTTCCTAAAGCCACAGTTATGACAATAATGCTTATTAATTTTCTATCATTCTTTTTTCATTATATACAAAAAGTTTATTTTAGACATCACACATCTTTAAAAAATAACATAGAAGTTATATGTTCTTATCCTGATCTGATAATATTCATCTTGAGTCATTCTCTCTTCTTAAACAGAGACATTAAAAGACATTAAAAATTACCTCTTTATTCATTTTGAACCATTGATATTGTACAAAAGGATGTCCAGTTGCCCGGCAACACAGTTTCACAAACTGTCCAGCCAAGACTGCCTTTGATTCTGGGTTTACAGTGATCTTTATTCCTTTAAAAACAAAAAAAAAGTTAAGTAAATAAAGCTACAAAAGAGGTACTCTCCTTGTTTATGTATCTGAGGACAAAAAAAGAAATATTTTGGAAATAACCTACAACCTGTATATTTATCTTTATCATAAATCACCCACTCACTTCTCCCTCCCTATCTGATTATAAGTTTTTGAGTTGCAGACTGTGTAAAACCAGGAGGAATGAAACTTACCTGCAGAAGATTTTGATCTACTGTATTTCCCCTTGACTGGGGAGAAAATTAGTTGCCTATTTCTTCAATTCTTAGAAACATTTTTTTTTCCGTGTTCTAATAACTCAGTTCTGAAAGCAGAATGCACCTTATAATAAATACCCACCACGTAGTGGACATACTGTAGCTCTCAGTGCCAACTCTTGCATGTACGTGGTCATAAATGCGTTCACGGACAGCACTTAAATGAAGTGCACTGTTGATACTGTAAGTGTTAGTTTAGACACTTGCTATGCTCTCAATATGACTCCCCAGGTTCATGCATTGGAAACTCAATCCCCAATTAAACAGTTTGGAGGCAGGGTCTAATGGAGATGTTTAGGTCATGAATTAACACTGCTATAAAAAGGGCCTGTGGGAGTGGTTTTGCTCTCTCTTTTGCCAAGTAAGGACACAACATTCCTCCCTGTTTGCCGTTCTGCCTTGCACCATGTGAACACACCCTGATCTTGGATTTTAAACTTTTTCTTTATAAATTAGCTAGTTTGTGGTATTTTGTTACAATAGTATGGAATAGACCAATGCAATGCCACTGAAAATGTCTTTAAAAGATTATATGACTTAGCATTGAAATTATTATTTTGGAAGCAGAAAGGCACAGAAACAGAGCAGCAGGATATGAATTTAATACTTATGATACAAACATTTCTCATTTAAGGAATGACTAGAAACCTGGAAGAAAATTCTAGAATCAACAGAGAAACGTCCACTCCCTCCACTCACTCACCCTGGGAAAGCACACTGCCATGTCATGAGGACACCAGGCAGCCCTGCAGAGGGGCCTGAGTAGTAAGGAAGGAAACGCAGGCCTCCTGCCAACAGTCAGTGAGCAAGTAAGACTTCCTGACGGCAGCCGTGGGGCGAGCCATCTCAGGAGCAGATTTCCCGACCCCAGTCAGACTTTCAGATGGCCATGCAGTGGCCATGAGACCTCTAGCTGGAAGTATCCAGCTAAGCTACTCTTGGTTTCCTATCCTCAGAACCTGCATGAGATAAAAAGTGGTTGTTCTGCGCTATGGCCTTGGGGCAATTTATTATATAGCAATAGATAACTGACATTAACAGAAAAAAACACCAAATTAATGCATTTTACATTTACCAAAGTGTATCATTCACAAAACTGGGTTAGCTGGCTTTCAGGAGAGAAGAAAAGATCATTAAAACTTCTGGACCCAGTTTTATTTTCTTTCCTCATCTATCTTGAACGTGACCTCATAACAGTGTCTTTTTCCTCTACAACCCACTGACCCAAAAGAACAGAACAAGATGAATCGAGGAAAAGGGTAAATAATTCAATAATCTTAATAGATCAAAGGTACTAAGTTTTCTTAGGAAAAAAAGAATGTAGGGCAAAGTGTGAATGTGAAATCCCTACAAGAAAGATACCAAATAAAGCCAATATTCAAAATGAGTAACTATTTGGCACATATTTAGCATATTTGAGGGTCTAGAGAAACCCTACAAAATCTTTAGTAAATATAGAGCTTCTCAAAAGAGAATTGTTTCCATGTTCATTAATCCTTTGTGCTGAGGCCAAGACAGCTCAAGATGGACTGAGTTCAGAGTTTGGCCCTGATCTCTCCTGACACAAAGTCGACTCCTCTGCCAGTCCAGCCCTCACGGGCTTCCACATCACAGCGAAGGCCGCTGACCTGCCGCCGTGTCGGTTCCTCACGACAGAACTTCACAGCCATGCCTGAATGCCTCCTGCCCACTTCCTCATTCTTCACATGGAGTTTATCACAGAACCTGTCCATTAAGCTTTCCCACACCTCACCATCTTCAGTTTCAATCCAAGCTACCAAAAGCTCCAGAGCACACTACTTTTAGGGCCTGCTCACTGATTTCCTTGCTTCCAACCAGCAGCTCCATCTTTTCAATACAAAATTAATTAGGGGCTGGCGTTGTGGTGCAGCAGGTTAAGCCACTGTCTGCAATGCCAGCATCCCATAGGGGCACCAGTTTGAGTCCTGGCTGCTCCACTTCTGATGTAGCTCCCCCGTTAATGAGCCTGGGGAACCAGCAGAGGATGGCCCAGGGACTCAGGCCCCTGCACCCGCACAGGAGCTCCAGATGATGCTCCTGGCTTCAGCCTGGCCCAATCCTACCCATCGCAGCCATTTGGGGAGTGAACAAGCAGATGGAAGATCTCCCTCTCTGTGTCTCTCCTTCTAACTTTGCCTTTCAAATAAATAAATCAATCTTCAAACCAAACCAAACCAGGGCCAGTGCTGTGGCATAGAAAGTTAAGCCTCCACCTCCAGTGCTGGCTCCCAAATGGTGGCAATGCCAGTTCAAGTGCTGGCTACTCCACTTCCGATCCAGCTCCCTGCTAATGTGCCTGGCAAAGCAGCAGAAGATGGCCCAAGTGTTTGAGCCCCTGCACCCACATGGGAAACAGAGAAGTTGTTCTTGGCTCCTGGCTTTGGCCTGGCCCAACCCTGGCTGTTGTAGCCATTTGGGGAGTGAACCAATGGACAGAAGATCTATCTCTGCCTTTCAAATAAATAAGTCTTTAAAAAGAAAACCAAAGAACAAATTAATTCATATCACTCTTGTGATGAAAATCCCCTCAAACTTTCCTGCTGAGCTGGAATGAAATCCCAACATTTACCTGGGCCTGGGGAACCAGCAGAGGATGGCCCAGGTACTCAGGCCCCTGCACCCGCACAGGAGCTCCAGATGATGCTCCTGGCCTCAAGGCCCTTGCTGAGCTGACCTCTCCTTGTCCACTGTGTTCTCCTCTTGGCCCTGTGTTCCAGCTGCACAGGTCCTCCTGCCTCTCATAAGCAACGCTTTCTTCTGCCATTCCACTTAAGTCCTCTGCTGGTTTATCCCCTGGCCCAACTGTTTCATGGCAGGCTTCTTCTTTTCTCGTCACTGGACTCATTAAATGCCACCAGCTTCTCTGGGAAGCATCTCCAGGATAGGCACTCTTCCACTCACAGTTCTCCAGCACCTTTATCCCTTTCTGCGTCCTTCATTACAAAAATCATTCTCTGAACTTCTGGTTTCTTACTGTCTGTCTTATCCACTAAAATGGAAGCTCCGGAAGTCCAGGAATTTGTCTGTCCTAACTACCAGTTCACCCAATGCCTAGAACAGTGCCTGCATATGGTAATACAGTGGGTGTTCAACATGTAGTTGAATTAATGTGTACAATAATTAATGAAATAAGCCAGACACAGAAAGACAACTACCACATGTTCTTCCTTATCCATGGGAGCTAAAGTTAAGAAAACAAACAAACAAAAAACCACACACACACAAAAAATAAGTGCCCATGTGAGTTTTGCTGCAAACACAGTGTTTTGTCAAGCTTAGTTTTAAATCTGTCAAACAAACTGATAGGAATTATAAATTGCTATAGTTTTAATGATTTTGTGACAATTTAAAAATTTATATAAGTGAAGTTGAGCATCTTCTCATTTGATTACTGTTACTGTTTATAGCTGCTACCTATTTTCTTGCTAGATGATGGTCTTTTTACTTTTCATTTGCTGAACCCTTTATTTAGTAGAGCCATTAAGCCTTTGGCTGTAACACAAGCTTAAAATATGTTATCTCAAAAAAAAAAAAAACAAATAAAATACTAAGTTAACAAATAACTATCAAAGCATCAATTTACTGACTGTTTTACATGCAACAAGCATGTTTATCTCTAATATTCAAAGTAGAATTAATTAGATCTATGTCATAACGAAAATTAAGTGACTTGCGGGTCACTCCAATTACCTGAGGAAAAATACTTAACCTCTTTGAGTCTGTGTTTTCCATCGTGAAATGACAAAACTAGGATGCAAGCTCAGGTTTTCTTGGCTTTAAAACTTTGTGCTATGGGGGCTGGTGCTGTGGCACAATGGGTAAACCACTGCCTGCAGGCCCTGGCATCCCACATGGGCGCCGGTTAGAGTCCTGGCTGTGCTTTTTTTTTTTTTTTTTAAAGATTTTATTTATTTATTTGAGAGGCAGAGTTAAAGACAGAGAGAGGGAAAGGCAAAGAGAGAAGTCTTCCAACTGTTGGTTCATTCCCCAGATGGTCACTATGGCCAGAGCTGAGCTGATCCAAAGCCAGGAGCAAGGAGCAACCAGGTCTCCCTCGTTGGTGCAGGGACCCAAGCACTTGGGCCATCTTCCACTGCTTTCCCAGGCCATAGCAGAGAGCTGGATCGGAAGAGGAGCAGCCGGGTCTAGAACCAGCGCCCATATGGAATTCCAGTGCCGCAGGCGGAGGCTTTGCCCACTACACCACAGTGCTAGCCCTGCGCTCTACTTCTGATCTAGTTCTCTGCTATGGCCTGGGAAAGCAGTGGAAGATGGCCCAAGTGCTTGGGTCCCTGTAACCGCATGGGAGAGCTGGAAGAAGCTACTGGCTCCTGGCTTCAGATCGGGCCAGCTCTGGCTGTTGTGGCCATTTGGGGAGTGAACCAGCAGATAGAAGACTTCTCCCTCTCTCTCTGCTTCTAACTCTGCCTTTCAAGTAACTAAACAAATCTTAAAACACACACACACACAAAAAACAATAAAAACCTTGTGCTTTTGTTATCCTCATGATTCTTAACGGACAGGTATACCTCGCTTTACTAGGGTTCACTTTATTGTAATTTAGAAAACCCATATTAAAAAAATTGAAGGTATGCGGCAACCTGCTATCTAGCAAGTCTGTGGGTGCCACTTCCCACCTGCTCAGATGATTATTTTTAAAGCAATTCAGTGTTTTAAAATTAAGGTAGGGTTTTTTTTTTTTT